TTAGACCGGAGACTGAGAGCCAGGCCTTCTCGACCAACATCAGTGTGTGACCTCACCAATGCGCTTTTGGAAGAATGGTCAAAAATTCCTATAAACACACTCCTCAACCTTGTGGACAGCCTTCCCAGAAGAGTTGAAGCTGTAATAGCTGCAAAAGGTGGACCGACATCATATTGAACCCTATGGGTTAGGAATGGGAATGGTTAGGAAGTTCATATGTGAGTCAAGGCAGGTGACCGAATACTTTTGGTAATATAGTGTATCTGCTTGATTTTATGCATGGTGCTGCTGCCACACAATTGGCTGATTGGATAATTGCACAAATGTATAGATGTTTCTAATAAATTGGCTGGTCAGTGTATATAGTTGTGTTGAAGTTATATGATTCCACAGTACCATTTAGCTTATACGTAATGTGTTGTGGTCTAATCAAATGACCCAAGTCTTCTTGTTTGTACTATATATTTTTCAGTACTCCAGTCCTGACCAGGAAGAACTGGGTAAGAAGAGGTATGAAGCTCAGAAGTTTGAACGAATTGAAACAAAAGAAAGGAATGGCAAGGCCATTACACCAGTTTTTCTTCCTGGTAAAACTTCTCTCTTACTGACACATGTATACATGTACATCATATCTTACAAATGAACTGTATCACTCATGGTTATAAGTGTTAGTAATGCTATAACGTAGATAATAGCTAAGCCCACTGACCTTGTCATTGAATTATATAGTCTAAACTTGTGACAGATGCCAAAATAAACAATGTAAAATGATTTAGGGCAATTTCAATACCACATATGTCGACTCTTCTAATAAATGAAGAATGTACTATGATGTACTACATACTGTATGTATTATGTCTTATTAGGCATTATAATTTTTTTTAACGTAATGTGTGATGTGATCAACCCATGTCCTTGTAATGTAATGTACTTGTTACACTTGTGACACAGCTTGTTAGTAGTTTCATTTCCCAAAAAAGGAGCCTAATAACAGTTTCCTCTCTTCTATGTCTTTTTCCGGACACATGTAGAAAGACAGACAAAAGGTATGCATCCATTTTGAATGTATCTATGTATCCCCCAAAATTAAAATGACAAACCTAATTTTAGTCAAGGCTCTAGTTCCCCATCCTTTCTTTATTATTACTGCAAAGAGTTTTTAACGAGTTTTCAGCAGTGAACAGATTAGTTAATTTACTCTGGAACAGAGTATTCTATTTAGAGTAGTCTATTTATCTGCTGAATAGTTTAACAGCATATCTGGTGTTTCTGAAGATAAAATGGAATGATTCAGTGAGAAAAATACAGGTTTAAGCTGTTTATTGAAAAAAAAAAAAAAGTTTTGGTGGGCTATTCAGCAATAAAGTTGTGTGTTTTGCAGAGCCATATACTGTTGGATTCAGCCAGTCGAGCCTCATCCACCTGATTGGTCCTTCAGATTGCACTCTGCATGGATTTGTACATGGCGGTAAGTAACCCTACAGCTCAGACTACACAACATTTACTGGATGTTCTTTGAACACTAGTTGAATGTTTTAAGAAATCAAAAGGACCAAGTCTCATCTGGTTCTTGTTGAGAGAAAAGTAGCTTGTTTACTGGAATAGGGAGGAAGAAACAGGGCACAACAGTGTAATGCTGTGTGTGTAGAGAAGGAGAAAGTATTGGAATGGGACCATCATGTCATGGTCTGTAACTTCCTCCACAACACGTACACGCACGGAGCGAGAAATCAAAATCGCTGACCTGAACAAGTTACATAAACGCGGCAACATCCACAGCGGCTCAGCCGTGCACACACAGCAACCTTAATGAGAGAGAGAGAGAGGGAGAGAGAGAGAGCGAGAGAGCGAGAGAGAGAGAGAGGGAGAGAGAGAGAGCGAGAGAGCGAGAGAGAGAGAGAGGGAGAGAGAGACGCTAAACTGAATCTAACATTTCGTATTTGTCTCCTAATTGGACATATTTGCTTCTTAGTCATAGAAGACCTGAGAACTGTGCAGTTCTTTTTTGGACATATCTTCACTGTAGATTACTGAGCTGGATCAAGAGCTAGACATTTCACTAATCTAATTAGCAGGACCTTAGTAGGATAGGAGAACAAACACAGACACACACACACACACACACACACACTTTCTCTCTCTCTCTCTCTCTGTCTCTCTCTCTCTTTTCTGTGTATTTAAACAGAACAGTAAAGAATAATGGAGAGATGAGCAGTGGGAATGTATGCCAAGACAGATGAATGGTGGTTGGATGGGAAATGTGTGCATGATAAATAAAGGTGTCATGACTCAATCAGAACAAAATCTGTTGCAGGAATAACAGCTGAGGTGCTAGCTCGAACAGCACCGTGTAATTCTGTTCAGATGTGTATAAACGGGTCATATTTTAGTGCCATATGGTCAGTTTAAAAAATTGGCTAGATGATACACAAGTAGTGGATCTGCATTTTAATCCTATAATAATTGTAATTACTTTCAGGCTGTGCAAAATCAGTTTAATAGCCATTATTGTAAAACACTTGTTGAACTCTTCATTCTGATTGGTCAGCTGATGGTTGATTAATTTTCTATAACAGCAGCTCTTAGTAGTTGGAACTGTAAAGTTCATATTAATGCAGTTGTTCTAATATGTTATCATTTCTATAGTTAAGTTACACATAAACACATAAACATGTTAAAAACCATGTGTAATCATTCACATAATGAGGCTTCTTTATGAGGAGGATTTCTGAGACTGAGTCTCCACTGTCAGTGGTTTGCGACGGTCAGAGGAAAGCTCTAACTTTAGGTTTTCCACCACGGAGGAACTGGTGCTTTGTGGTTTCATGGTAACATAAGAAGCTGTATGTTTTGTCTTATTAATTTTAAGAGAGAGATGGAGAAAGCAAGTCTGGTGATAGAATGACTGTTTATAGCTGTTATAAGGTAAGTAATAATAGGAACTAACATTAAATGTTATATACTATAAACAGATAAAAAATTATGTGTTGTTTTTTAATAAAAATAAAAAAAATTGTTAGCATTGGCAAATTGCTGTAGACATACTGTTATTGGAAAATAATCAACTTCACTGTGTGTCAATCACACCACCCTATCGATTATTTTCCTGACCTGCTGATAGCCAAAACGGCAAAGATGAGGAACAGCTTCAAAGCAGCCTGTATTTCCTCTTTTGTGTCCTGTGGGAACAAGAGCAAATCGTTGCCACTGTCCTTCTATGCTATTCCTTTCACCGAGAAAGCATTTGTGAGGAAAAACAGCTTTTCTAAAGGTTATACAACTATTACACATTAAAGCAAACTACATTACAGCCTAGCAACAACAGAAAAACCATTATATGTGTCAGTTATTTGGATTTCCATCCCCTCTGAATAACAATGAGAGAAGAAAGAGGGAACAAATTACTTAGGTATTAACAATTCCAGCTTTTTATTATTCACGCAGTCTTTTGTAGTCAGCATCGGCCATCTTCTTTCATATTCTTTTGTGCAAAGTTTGGGTTTTCATTGCATATTCAGTCAGAGCTGGATGGAGTCAGATAGAGCTGTGTGTGATTAGGGAACAAATAAAGTTTGCATAATTTGTTGTTGTTCTTTCAGCTGGATGCACAGGTCTTACGCAACCCTCCCTGTATATCCGGGCTTGGGACCAGTGCTGAGAGTGTACTAGCTTGGGGCTGGCACCCAGCTTGGGGCTCAAACCCATGATCCTGAGATCAAGAGTCTCATGCTCTACCAGCTGAGCTAGCCAGGTGCCGAAAGTGTGCATAAGTGTGCATAAGTGTTACAACTTACCAGTTATGGAATGCTGGAATGCTGTGGGTTTTAATCCCTGATATATAGATGCCTATCTATAAGAAAGTGGTGGTTAAGGGCCTTGTTCAAGGGTCAATATCTGTTCTCTAGCAGTCCTAGGATTTGAGCAAGCAACAATCACATACACATAACCGTTGTTCAGGAATGAGCTTTGGCTTCAGCGGTCCTTAAGAGGTTATATTGTCAGTTTTTTTCTATGAGAAGTGCATTTCTCAAGGGCAGAGCTTTTTAGAATCAAATGACTCTTGCAGATTAGGTCGACAATATTTTACAAGCTATATCTGTGGAGCTTCACGTGTTCTGCCTTTGTCTGTGTGGGTTTTCTCTGGGTTGTCTGGTTTTCTCCCACCTCTCCAAACATGCCAGTGTGCTTACCCACTGTGTCAGAGTGAAATTGATACTATTTGCTATTCGGTTTGGTTTAGTTTCACACTCTACATAAATAAACGCAAGACATCATTGGCTGAGGGGTGTGTAGGGATGAAAATGTACCATTCAGAAATACAATGACGGAAAAAAGTGAACTAACGTTTACCAAGTGTGTGTAGAAATCACTAAAATCACCAGAGTGCAAAGAATACTAAATGACTGATTAGATAATTATACAAATAACTAGCTTAAAACATTTTATGTATCACATCCAGCATTCATTTTCTCTTCATGTTCCTTGGGACAAATATCCAGAACGCATGGCATATCGGCATCCCTAAAGCTTCTTTGTTTGGGTCACTTCTTGGAGTCGAGTTGATTCAGGAGCAAATAGCTTGCTAACTCCATTCAAACCGATTGGAGCTGGACTGAGACCACCTTACTCAGGCGTTTTCAGACCGGCTGTTTTGGTCTGTACCCGAGTGCGATTGCTGTGTTCTCACCTGCCTAAAGAACCGCACCGAGGGGGAAAACACACCAGGGTTCCATTGAAACAGCCTAAACAACGCGCGTGTGAAATTGCCTGTAAGTCTAAATGTGTGTGCATAGCACCCAGTGATGGACTGGCATCCCGTCCACAGTGTATTCCTGCCTCGCTCCGAGCGTCCCCAAGATGGACTCCGGCTCCACTGCCACCCTGACCAGGATAATGAATGAATGAATGTTTTCACCATATATTATGTTTAAATGGAAATTACATCCACCATATACGAGAGCTCCCCAATCCTTTATCTTTATATACCTTCTGTAAGTTGTATTTTAAATATTTACACCTTAAATTGTATATTTAGATGCTGCACGCAAAGCATTAGCCAAAAACCCTAGTTAGACAGAGTCATACTCTGGGGAAAAAAAAAATGCTAACAGAGCGTTTAGTCTCCAGAAGTGCAAATTATATCAGTTAAGCTTAGACATGAACTACAGAATTCTCGGGGGAAAATTCAAATGGAAAGAACATTAAAATACTTCACGCACATTCGCTAATGCTGCAGTTTCTTTTTCTGTGCGTTAACACTAATGCAGCCATGCTAACTAGTGCTAACTAGCATTCTTTTAAGCATTTTTGAGTCATGTGTTTCTGAGTTTGTTTCGGGAACACGCTCAGTCTCTTCATTTTGGGCCATTGTGGTGAGTGTGAAGTCTTGCTACTGTGAGTCTTGCATATGCTCTGACAAATGTGTGGCATTTCTGTTACAGTTTGTGCCACACGTTCTCACCTTCATGTGGAGAATCTCTCTGTTGTATTTTGAGCATAGCCTTGTTAACATCCTGTGTAAGCTCACGAAACAATTGTGCCTGCTGTAGGACAGTGATAGTGGCTCGGGTGAGGCTCAGCATCAGTGTGTTTGGATCCAAGTTAAAACAGATACTAAACTGGGGGTTTTAATGTACATATGTTGTACCTTTAGTTATAGAAATGCAGTTATTGAAGAACATCATTAAGGTACAAATTTGGATCCTCGGAACCACTGCTGTATTTTTGATGTGACGTTTACATTCAAGGGTGGACAAATTATACATTAATTAGCTTTCTCCAGTGGGCAATTGGAAGGTCCCATGTACTGCCTGGTCCCATGATTTGGTTGCCCGGAAATCTGCATGACTCAGCTAAAAAAGTGGTAGCTAATGTAATCTAAAAATGTATGGTGAGCTAGTTAGCTAGTTAAGTGCATTAAAACAGGCTAAGGGAAACAAATGAATACATGAATTCTCACAGAAGAGACAACTCTATGTAGCTATAGTCCTTTACATTACAACATTAGAAGGCTGGCCAGCTTCTTTATTATTTCTTCTTATGTTTAATCGGTTATTTTGCTTGGTTTCTTCAGTGTTTTTACATGCCTCTGTGTTCCTGATTCTGAAAAGATCTATCATCCATCTAAACTAATTAATCCACCTAGTAAAAGCTGTTCTGCCATCGACCGGGTCATGCGTCAGCTGATGTGTGTAGTGCAGCAGGTGGTGGGATTTGAAAGCTTGCACTATATTTACAGCGTCAACATGACAAGGGAGCAAAATTGGCCATGCTCTCTGGTTGAGAAGGATGGCATACGCTCTCCCCTGTCAATCACTATGACACTAGCCAGTCACGGGCTTCTGTGAGCTCTTGTATGTAGAAGAGGGCAGATAGCACTTTAAGTTTGTTGCACTGCCCTTGGCTTCATGTGTCTTGGAGGAAGCGTGTGTTAGCTTTCACCCTCCCAGGTTCAAATTCAAATTCAAATTTTATTTGTCACATTACGACGTGCAGTGAAATGCTTTTTACAACTGTCCCAAAATAGAAAAGAAAATATAGAAAAATATTAAATATAGAGAAAAATATATGCAGTTGACAGCTGTTGTATGATAGGTGAGAGCTGGCTGGTGGGTGGGAATTGGCAGGTGACCAATTTGTAGAGAAAATGGGAAGAAAAGTGTTATTTTCTTTAAATACATGAAAACTTTTTTTTTTTTTGCAAAAGAGTAAGTTTTGTTTCTTTTTCTGGTTGTTGAACCTAGTTTATTCACTATGACTAAAACAAAAAAATCTGCTTGTCCTGGTCGCCCAGGATACTGATTTGCTCACCTCCTGACGCTGTTTGAACATTTATAAACAGATCTTAACACAGCCAGAGAGCTCTTGCCCTTCAGCTGCTCAGCTGTACACTTAAATTGAATTCTGACCCTATTTTTAAGTTGCTCTGTCAAATAGCTAAATGCAAAATGTTGACCTTATGAGCTGTGCGGAGAAAACAGTAAACCTATTTTTAAATGTTAGACTATTCACAATGTACTACAGCTTACATGAATTCGACAAAGTAACACTGGATAATGCAAAATAAATGTATTTATATTTATCATATTTATTTATCTGAGCATTACACTCTAATTCTACACCATTATCGCATTCCTGTATATTATGTGTGTGTGTGTGTATGTGTGTGTGTGTGTGTGTGTGTGTTTCTCCCATTCTCTGTAAAAGCACTGGAGGAAATGAATGGCTCAATTACACCGTCATATTAGCGCTGTCAGAAAAGGGAAGCATCCTGGGGAGAAGACGTCGTGGGATAGATCCGTCATTTTCAACCACTTCTTCTTATCATCGTTCCCATTTGCTTCTCGTCTGAATGTGTTTGGCTAAAGAAGCCTTAACAATGTCAGTGCAAATCAATTACGCTAATCCATTTGACCTTGCTGAAGACAGGGCAGAGACAAATTGAGCTGTTTTGAGGTAATTTAATTAATGGCTGGATGGAGGGCAGAAGTATAATTGGATTTTAAAGTAGAGATGAAGTGAGGATTGAAATAGAATTGTCGAAAAAGTTAATATTGTGTATATAGTCATTATTAGTTTTTAGTAATGTACAGGATTCAGGCAGGAGTAATCTATCCTGGAGTAGAGTTTATCGCCTGGTCAAACTAACGTAACTGTGAAAAAAGACTGATTTTTAGATATAATAGTAGTGCTTGATTCGTTAATATGGCTATGAAGGGCTAGAGTTGTTGTTTTGTTTTTTTTTTGGTTGGTTGGTTGATTTTTATGTAAGGAGTAAAACACAATGGGGTGTGCTCTTACAGGAAAATAATCAACAACCGGGTGGTTTGATGCTTCTCCCAAAGTGTTTTAATCCCCTTGTACCACAGCAGTTTTCAATTGCTAGCAATTTTTCTTTCTTAGCATAACTACTTTTAATATTACTTTTATACTTTTAATCCATTTATAGTTATGTTTGATGTTGTGGAACATCCATACATCAATAAGTCCCTGTTACCACTTATGTTAAACAACTATAAACATGTTTGTTTGTTTATTTTTTCTTGAAGTTAACAAGACAAAAAAGTAGCTTGTTATGCTACCGAGAAGCTGCAAAGACTTTCCCATGTTGGAAAACTTCAGTTCTGATTGTTACAAAGCACTACAACAATGGATTTAGCATTACAACAATGCTAAATGGATTTAGCATTACAACAATGCTAAATCCAAAAATGTATCTCATTACAGAAAACATCACCGTTCCGTATTACACTTTTTAATCCGTCTACGTGGGGCATCCACTGTAAAGGCACTATGAATGAGCTGTTACTATAGAAACGGTAATGCAGTAGAACGAGCGCGTTAAGATTAAGAGCCGTGATTTGAGTTACAGCCGGCACTACTGTCAGAGCTGCTGTTATAGAAAATTAAACAGCACTGTCGTAAAATGTCTTTTACAGCCTTCAAACCAGTTGCCTTCTATAAAACCAATTGCAATAAAAGGCAAAAAAGCTGCAGGTTCATGAGAATCTTCCCCAGATCTGTTATAAACTAACACAACCGCCACTTTTAGATGAATAACAGCTTTCCCGTGTGATGTGACAGTGATGAACTGTGTGGCCCTCAGATCTGAAAAACAAATTTCTCCTGGAATATTCCTAAAGCCTTGACATTTAAACACAAAGAGAAGACGTTTTGGCCTAGACGCATGCAATTTAGTGTTCAGAAGAAAGTGACATTGCTCAGTTTGATGGAATTTTGGTTTGGGTTTGGTG